CTGGAAGTGATTGCATAATTCTGTGTAAATTCATTTATTACGCTAGTAGTCCTTTTAATTAAATGTGCGCCGAAATTCTTCAGTCTTGAAGCGCAAACTCTACACTGAAAGAAAAGATTGGTTGCTGTAGCAAATTAGATGGTTAAATATGGCATAGCCATTTTTAATTGGCTACAGCAACCAATTTTTGGTTGCGTTAGCCAATCGAAATACTATGCTGACATCGCGGATAGGCTAACACAACCAACAATTGGCTGCAGCAACCAAAAATTGGCTGTTGCAAGCAATTAAAAATGCTACACCATATTTTACTATCTAATTCGTTGCAGCAGCCAATCTTTTCTTTCAGTGTACTGAACTACAGCAATATCACCAGTTAAATTGTGTGACTAGCAATTTAACAATTCGATGCTCTTACGCATCTTAAAACAATCTTAATAATGCTGAATACCATTAAAATCTGTAAATAATAATAATTAAAATAAGTAAATAATATATTAAAATATGTAAATCAACCAGATATATAAATCAATCTATTCGCCTCCATTTTCAGATGCCCAAATATCGTGATGTTAGGGTTAAATAAGTTAAATTATAATTTAACTTTTTAAGCCTTAACATCACGATATTATTTTCTTTCTAAAGTACATATTTCGAGTATCGTAACGTAAACAGATATTTTTTATTCACTCATGAATTTTTAATCGATATCACATTTTTCCAGAACACTTAACATTTGTTCAATAGAAACAAGCATATTTTAAAAATAACAGCTAAAATCGTTGAAACTATTTTTTGTCGCAGACTATTATTATTTGAGAGTTTGATTATAATAGACATCTTAATATTTTCCTTGATGAAAATTAATTTCAAATCAAGAAATTTCTACTTTGTTCTGTATAAATATCTTCGTTTATAATTATATCAATCGAACATAATTGCGCACTTATTAATTAAATCTTCATGCAAACGCTGGAGAATCAATTACAAATTTATTCATTTAACAGATAGCAGAATGGAGTGAATTTTTTTATCATACAATATATCACAAAGTGATCTAATTATATACTAAATTGAATAAAATAATATTTATAGAAGATATGTATATTTCAACTTGTGTAATATTTAGCCTTAACCAAGTGACGATAGTTCATTTTATTTTACTTAAATGAATTATTTAATGTCTTAAACATTATGTTACAATGCTATAGAAAATACAAACTATAATGACGAAAAGTATAACGCAATCGTAATAATACCTACAAAACACAAATTTCGAAACTATATTACACACAATAATTTATACATAAAACTCTTATATTATTAAGACTACGTTCGGGGAGCGCTATCTATCAGAGTTGTTATGATTAAACAAGACTTCTTACCTCATGAGCGTTATTATGTTATTTTACCTCTTGCTATGTTCGAAAAGCATCCCCTCGAGTCATTATGTCCTTATTTTATGTACTATTAGACGTAAAAAACTAATTATACGTTTATTATAACGATAAAGATAGTTATTGAGTAACTATTTATCAACACTATTACTATTAAGAAGGTAACATTTATGTATAAACGGTCACTTAATGTTCTGCGACTTCGAGAGTTTGACTTCAAATGAGATAAGAAAACTATTAAAAATAAAAAACTTTTGGGGGGCTCATGCTTTTTTAAATGAAACTCTAGCTCTATAAAAAGGAAACCCGCGGACTCCAACAGTAGTTTTCCGAATTCCTCACGAGCAAATCATTGAAAGTGAAGTTAGTATCTAGGATAGTTATAAAAATCATTACATGACAATGGGCAAATAAATTTCTCTTTTGGAAATAATGGTTTTCGAAATATGTATTTGTTTACACTGTATTTCACCTACACTGAAAAAAGAAATATTTAATTTTAAGATATTAAAGTGATTTTTTCTTATCTCCATTTTTTATATCGCATTTATCGCAATTCGTAGAAATCATATCTTCTTTGAAAATACCTTCCATTGAACTTCCATTATAATATTCATGTCTGATCCTGGCTATATCTTAAATTCGAGTACTTTTTAGAGAACGTAACGTTTTAATTTTATCGAAAAGAAGAATACATTTTGTTAAAGTAAAGGAAAGAATGAAGATTCGTTCTATTGTCGTTGAAAACATTTTTTATTCAAGAAACAATTGTTACTATTCCAGATACCTAATAGCAATCGGCTAAAAAATTACTTGATGTAATGAAGGGATACCGTAATTCCTGCAACAGTGGGCTTTCCTGCAAAGTTATGTGGATGTCGTTGACCTGTCTACTGTTCATCTTTTTGCTATTAACAACAATCACTGCTAGTACGTCCTCTCTATTCTTCTACTTTTTCAGCGTTTTATTATTTATTGTTTGTTTGACTCGTTTCCTTTCCAATGTGCATGCCAATACAAAGAAGCAAAGAAAACAAAATTGCGATAAAATATATTTCGAAAGTGAATCGACACTTTCATTGTACATTTTGGCTTACGCAACACTGGATTTAATTAGAATTTGTGAATATTGGACCGCACAACGTGATCGTTCTAAAAAATGATCAAAAAATAGATTAATATATTCACCTCTAGCTTATAAGTGCTCGCGTTCAAATTAGAAATTATCTTTCTCTTTGCAATTAAATTAAAGACTATCTTCTCTTTAAAATCACTCTAATAATTACAAAACTATTTTGTAAAAAGCTGCAGTTTCTATTAATTTTTTATTCCAGACTGCTCCAAATTTCTCTCTACTCTAATATTCCTGCAAATTTCATCAATACTAATAAAGAACAGAGCATAGCCTCTCTTGTTAGTTATTTTATTTTAATAAAATTTCATGTTGTAAGAACTGATGCATTAACTTATTCTTTATTCTATTATTTTGTGTCGACATCATGAATGCTTTACACCATAATCTTATTTCTTGATTTGGATTGATTTTGTCTAACAACTAGTAAATAAAATATATTTTAATTCCCGATATAATCATGAAGTAATATATTTGTACATTTAAAATCCATTACGCACAAAGTGCGTCGTTATATCCTTAATCATCTTTTAATTATTTCTTTACTATTTTAATGTCTCGCGTTAACTCTGTTAATACAAAAAAACCGAATTCTATTTGGATTTATAAAATGAATAATTTGCAGAGCCGAATATCAATGAGATTAGGACTATAGTGACCAGTACGGAACCCGAAATAGCGTGCCTACCATTCCCATGTGACTTAAACTGCACCTGGGGATACGAGGTATATATCCACTATATACATTTAAAACTATACATCTACTTTATGTTTAACATATATAATATAAATTTAAAACTATCCATACCTATTGAAAATGTTCAAAAACGAGGACAAGAGAGGAATAAGTCGATAAAATGGATAAAATGACGAATTGCTAATTTTGTCAAACTCATAACAGATAACGGGTCGATGCTGAACTCATTAAAGGGTTTAGATCATAATAAACATTTTTTTGCCATTTGATCTCAATTTGTCTACAAAAAATAGATAATATACAATAATAAGAAAATTACATTTTTGACATATCCATATGTAATTTTATGGTGTCTATTTATAAGAAATTACATAATTATACTACGGGTAAGATGACATATTCGTACATGTAGACTATATTTGTTACTGCATCAAATTATAAATATGACTGCATCAAAATAGTTGTTTAATATTGATTGTATATTAAATTAAAGTAAAGATGATCTTAACGTCTCCACCTAAAGAAAATAATGTGAACAAAATACGTCCCTCTTGAAATCGTTCCACTTTCATTTGAAACATTTTTATATTATTAGTAACATTGGAAAAATTGACTGGATTGACTAAAATTGGAACCTTGTATAGAAATGTAAAAGTCGTGCATTTTTAAATAAAAATTTGAACTAGATATAAATTCTTTCTTCACATGCAATAATCTTAGTTTATGTCACGTGAAAATCTTTTCAAGTACTTTTATTGAAAGATCTAACATTTTACGTTAGATTGATCCTGTCACCTGCATATGCTCATGCTGGATTCCCGAGTTCTGCGCCGTTTTATGTTCGAAAGGCCAGACCTGCGAGCCATTCTTGCAATGTGTTACGACGCCATGTCCCATATGTATTATATGTGTGGACGACACGTGTTCATCAACAGAATGATCAGGAGATGAATCCTTGCAGATCATCGATTCGCCACGGCTATTTCTTTGCAACATGCCAAGTAAATCAATTTGTCCACGGATGTACACTGCCTAGTGTAGAGTACCTCTAGTAAAAGTTAGAACACCTTACTAATTTACTTGTGTAAAGCTTTAAACTGAATAAAGAAAATTAATCATTTATTTTATAACATTTATGTTTTCTAAAAGCAACATCCCGTAACTCTGAAACCGTTCGGAATCGGACATATGTTTATTTCGACTGGTTTTCATGTGCTAAAGCTGTTGTAGCAGTTTTAACACTGGTTGTGAGTTTAGCCTCTAACGCTATTTATATTTAACCTAAACTAGCTATATTTATATTTAGCTAAACTAAAATATAGAGAATTATCTGAGAATGCCATTAGTCCTACTACAAATACTTTGAAGTATTTGATTGATCAATCAAAAAAAGAATGTTACTAATTTAGTAATCATAAAATACTTTAAAGCATTTTAATCATCACGATCTTATGTTATTTTGCCTTTGGCTGTGTTAAAGAAGCATCTGTAGTGTAATTTTATCCTTATATACTTTATGTATCATTAGACATCTAAATATGCGTTTACTATATCGATAAAGATTATCTACTAACATAGTTATGTACTAACATTGAAATTAAAATTGTAGTGATCATTACATAAGGATACTACGTATTGTTTTATGACTCATTCTCCACATGTATCGCTTAAGACGAGATAAGGAAATGTGAAAATAAAAAACTTTAAAATAAACAAAGAGAGGGAAATTCTAATTCTATAAAAAGGAAACCTTCCGACTGCAGCAATAGTTTCTCGAGTTCCTTACGAGCAAAACATAGTGTACGTTTAACAGACTTAAGTCCAGAAAGTGAAGTAAGTAGTACAGTAAAAAAAACCATTATATAACAATTGGCAAATAAATTCTTTTTTTGATAATAACTTTCGCAAATGTAACAATTCACGAAAAATGTAAGATGATTCGACGCACAATATCTGTTCCTTTTTTTTCGTGTCAGCACATCACACTTTTTAGTTTCGACATGCGCTTCGCGCGACTTTGACTTTTTTTTATTCATGTGATTCCAGCAACTTATGTCGAGATTCTTTTTTTGGAGATCTTTCATCTGCTCTTCTTCTCGTAAACTTCCTATTTGTCTTTTCTTTTTTCTCACGAAATATAAGACGACACGTTCGGAATACGATGCGCCACGACAATAGAAAGTTAAAGGCTAAGATCCGGAAATGCTGATATTCATGTGATTCCAGCAACTTATGTCGTGATTCTTTTTTTGAAGATCTTTCATCTGCTCCTCTTCTCGTAAACTTCCTATTTCTCTTTTCTTTTTTCTCACGAAATATAAGATGACACGTTCGGAATACGATGCGCCACGACAATAGAAAGTTAAAGGCTAAGATCCGGAAATGCTGAAGGTAAAGAATGACCCATAACTGCCGGAGATCGAGCAGATGCACGCAATCACTTATATGAAACATTAGGGAAAATATCACTGATTGAGTAGAAATGGTGCTAGAGTTAAATCTCTTGATAACTAATGCCGTAATAAAAATGTGAATCATACTTTAAGAGCGTAATGAAGCTCGTTATCGTTTATCAGCCTTTTCAATTGCTTCATTCAACAATGATTATTCCATTCAACATATTACATTCATTCGAATATTTCAAAACATATCATTCTACATACAATTTTGTTACATTACATTATGTCATTTACTAAAATGCTCAAACATGATAGAACGGTTTCATGTCGCAAAAGGACTAACGATTACCTGTTTTGAGTCTTCTTCCACTTATCCTTTTGTTGAAAGAAAGTACAGTAGCTAATAAAAAGGTTCAATACGGCAGTAATCTATTTTGCTTATTTCGAAAGATCAATAAAATTATTTTTGTTGGTGGCAAAAATTAATCTTCATTCTATTCTTCCGATTTTATAAAAATGTAGAACTATTAATATTATTGCATTTAAGTCTTCACTTATGTTATAAGTGTTATGTTTTATGAATTATAGCGTGCGTCTATTTCAATCGAATTCAAGTTTTAACTCCATTTAACTATTGCTTCTACTTTTAATCTCGCGAATATTTAATGGACTTTGCCTTTTACCAAAAATTTCCTTGAATGATCGAATTTATTCTCTTACGTAGGTCATCGAATTAATATGTTTGGCATATTTTTGTCAAGGATTAAAAATAATGCTATTTGTTTTTAATTAATAATACTGCGTTTTTAGCAGTATGTATTTATGTACACAATTGTGGACAAAATCGAATAGTAGCTCATATGCAGCTGTAAGCCACTTCGAATAGAAATAAATTTCGTATTCTCTCCCTCACATTTCATACCACGAAATAAAAGACTGAGAATCTCAAGAACATCGGAATTTCCGGAATAGAGTAATCTTTAGCGTTTGTCAACCGCGTTTATTACAATGCGTAGAGTCACGTCTCCGTTGATGCCATACCTCACTTTCGTTGCATTATTCATGTCTCCCAACTACATCCCAAATTCAAGGACTTTTCAGTGGATGTGATATAACGTATCGCTAATTTCACCATTGAGAAGAAGAATTCGTCCCGTTAAAACAAAGGATAGAGTTTCATTCTGTTCTCGCTGGAGTTTGTGTTTTAATCATGATGTAATTGTCACTATTCCAGGTAATAATAGTGATCGATTCAAAAATTACTTGATGCAATGAAGATGCGCCGTGATTTCTACAACAGTGGACTTACCTGCGCAACTGTGTGGCTGTCGTTGTTTATCCTCTCACTAGCAACAATGATCACCGCCAGTACGTTCTCTAGTCTTCTATTTTATTCAGAGTTTCGTTATCTACTCTATGTTAATTGTACTCATTTCCGTCCAATGTGCACGCAAACGTAAAGCTTAACAAGCAGATAAAACAATCGCTATAAAATAACTTTTAAAAGTGAATAGTCATTTTCATTGTGTATTTAGATTTGAGCAACGCCAGATTTAAATAGAATTTTTTAATACCTGCACGGGACCGCTCCTATTCTAAAAATTAAAGTGAAAAATTTACTCTTTGCTTACGAGTATCTGCGTTCAAATTAAAGTAACAACCTTGTCTTAGTTCTACTTATTTTTATTCTTTCCAATATATTAGTGGCGAAATCTTATAAAAAGCAATTACTGATTTTTTTACTTCCGACTGCTATCAATCAAAGGTTGACATAACAAGAAGAACGCGCATATTTTATTGAAATCGAATCTTTTTTAAAATTACTTTATCAGAATTAAATTATAAATTTTCATATATTCCTTTGTTCTAATAAACTTTCATTCGTTATATATTCCATGTTTTCTTCTTTGAGTTACTCGAAAGTATTCGCTATTATGGTGCCGCTTTGAAACGCTATCGCATGTTAGATAATATAATAAGTGTGATAAATATACGATAATTAAGTAAATAGGTAGAATTCTGAGAAGTTATTCTCTTATGTTATTATGTTCTTATGTCATTTTCCTATGTTATTTTCTTCTATAAAGGCACCTTCAGATGATTTGACAAATATATGCCAACACAAGCAAATATCATACACATACACGACGTAGGTAATTATTCATATTGAATGTATTGATCAATATTTAGCGAATCTTTGCGAAGTTGGCGTATACGTCGACCATACCGTCTGGAGGCGCCTTAAGAATTGTATATACATCATCAAAACTTCATATTGTAATTTTGTCTTTTGAATTGATTTTGTCAGTTTAACTAATGAATATAAAAGGCACCTCTTAATTAAAAGAGATTCAAAAAATGTTTCCTCTAATGTATGCCGAAAGCACGAAAATACAGAACAATTATTAGATATCGCTTAAGATAGCTTGAAATTACATCCAAATTTTTATTTTATTCAATTTTTCAATATATTTGTATAATCATAAAGTAAATATATTAATATAATGAAAATCCATTGTGCACAAATTACTGCGCCGTTATATCCTTAATCGCCTTTTAATTATTCCTTCATTTTAATGGCTCGCTTTTATTATATTTATACGAAAACAGAGTTCCATTATTTATGAATTAATTTATGATGGCGCGCAGAATCGACCATCCATGAGATTGACACCAGTATGACTAGCAAAAATACTACAAACGAGACGTGCCCACCTGACATGTGTCCCATAATGTTATGCCGCTGGGGATTCAGCTACGAAGTATGTATATATCTACTATACAAACCTACCTGTATATAAAACTATACACCTACTTTATACTTAGCATATTTAACATAAATTTATAATTATCATTATTGAAAATGTGTAATCACAAATAGGACAAAGAGGGAATAAAATAACGAAATGAGTAAGAAGACGAATTACTAATTCTTCTAAGTTAATAACAAATATTGGACCAACTGAACTCATTAAAAAATAATAAATATTCTCTTTAGTAGTTTGACTTTAATTTGTCCATAAAGATAAATAATATAATAAGAAATATATTTTAGTCGCAGTATTAAAATATATATAATTTTTTGGTCTGTTTATATATAAGAAATAACACAATTATACATTCACTTTCTTTTCGTTACATTTCTGACTCAAGCATTTTTTGTACTATTAATAATTTTGAAGAAAATTGACTGAATTCATTGAAAATGAGACGCTCTGTATATAGTAATATAAAAAAGAGTTTGTGTATTTTTAAGTAGAATTTTAAATTTAATTCTTTCTTTACATAAAATAATCTTGATTTGTTATGTGTTTTACATAAAAATTGTTATTGAAAAATACAACGTTTTCGATAGACGGATGAGGTCACCGGCTGTCAAACGTGCAAGTGCTGGGATCCCTGTTCCGACGTTGAATGTCCAAAAAACAAGATATGCGTGCTACAAAATCGGGCGTGTTTTACAACACCATGTCCCCCGTTAACTACCTGTGAGAATATTACATTCTAATCTGCAAGCGAATCCTTGCAGATCATCGATTTGCAATAGTTATTTGCCAGGTAAATCAATTTGTCCATTGATGTACAGCTATCTGGTGTAGAGTATCGTTAATAAAAGTTAGGACACCTTATATCAATTTATTTGTGCAAAGCTTTAAACAGAATAAAAAAAATTAAAAATTAAAAATTAAAAATGATTAAATAAATTGTATATATTGTATAAAATTAACCCTTAGTACACACGTTAGTTTTGGGTATCCTTAATAATACACACGTTCGATCATTCGTGTCTTGGCTTAGTTTTCATCACTTTTACAAGTATATATAAATTATTAAACAATTTTTACATACATTTTGACATCTTTAGAAAATATCTGTGCAGTTATATATTCATAACAAAATGTAAATAAATTGTTGTTACTAAATATAGTTAACGAAATCAGAAATATGCACTATTTTATATAAATATATAAAACTCTGAAACAAAAATGTTTAAAGGAAAAATACGGTTCAGTATCTTACAATTGACATTCCAAACTACAAGAAAAAAAAATATTTCAAGCGTCGACTGTCCAAAAAGTTTAGTTATTGAGTAACCTGAAAATGATGTTTTTTTAATATACATGAATGGCTATAAATTGAAGATATATTGCACTTACACTTTAAAACAATAGATTTTATTATTGCTATTGTGTTAAAAAAAAACTTGTAATTTATTAGGAAAATGTTCTTTATGACATTACAGACAGCATAATATATATTATATAATATTACTGACAATATTTAGAACAAGAGTACCAATAATCACGTTTATTAAGGGCTGATATGTTGTTTTAGAGTTAAATTCTTCTTTTAATGATTGGCGAAATATTCCCGCAATACAACCGAGTATTAGTGGAAAATAAACAAAAAAATAAAAAATTAATTACAAAAATGTACACTCTGTACATACGTTGGGTCATTTGTGACGCAGAGGTGAACTTCAGAGTTATGCCAGTTGAAGAATACGCACGAATCGAGGCCGGTAACGCATAAAACTTGTTCTCTAGATGTCAAACTTTTTTTTGGAATAGAAGAAAAAAGACCGGTATTTAACCAGGTGCTCTTAGGACCACTTTCATCAAGCTCAGTTAACTTACTCAGCCTAGTAACTGTAATGAAATAGAAAGAGATAGAAATAGTTCTATCTCTTTCTATTTCATTACAATTACTAGGCTAGTTAAATAAACCGACAATGGTGAAAGTGGCCCTTAGTATTTCAAAAAAAGAAATGCGCAGGACACGAATGACCCAGACGTGTGTATTAAGGGTTAAATATTTACTTCATACCATTCATGTTTGTTTACAAAAATATCTTCAATATCCCATAATTCCGAAACCTTTCGGAATCAAATTTATATTAATTTTGACTGGTTTTCATGCTAAAAGCTAAAACTGCCGGATTTTAGTTGGGACAATCTTATTATTGAAAAACAGGAGAATTTCGGTCTTTATTAGTCTATATAAATATATATAATCGAACACAGTATAAATCTATAAATATAATAATCTATTTACAATTGCGTGGACGTATTAACATAATGACACCTCGGGATTTTCAGACCCAGGAGAATCTTGCGTTAATGGTTCACACATCAAAGAGGTAATGAAGACAAATATCAATGAAAATATATTAAAATCATTTCCCATACCTAGATCCTCGACGATCAAACAAATGTCCGTCGATAAATTCATTATTCGCGAGTAAATGTTTCCGATTTCACAAAAGAATCGTTATTTTATGTCTTAAACTTTAAAAAAGTAGATTACATTTCCGAATCATCCTCTATATTTTGTCAAAATCGCTTAATAAATTTACAAACGATTATTTATAAATTTAGATTACGTGAATAATGTCGAATAAGTCTTTAATAGTTGTCTTTAGAATCTACATAGTCATATGTATGAACACCGGATCCAAAAATGTCGCATGCATTCGTTTGATCGTCAAGTCTGGACCGTAATGATGAATCTCGTGGACAATAAATTAGGACGAAATATCGACAGTGAGATACATGACATTGTTTTGACTACGATGTATATACTATACCATGTACGACATTACTTCACGTTTCCAGGTTGCACTTATGATTTGTGTGTGCTTTTGTTTATTAACCGCTAACAGTTAAGAACAAATTCAGTTACGTATATAAGATCATTAAACATATTTAAAGTTGTAAAAGCATAAAACATGTTCTTAATTATTTAATATTCTTAGCAAACATTTAATATTTTTTAAACAAATATTTTTTAAAACTAAACATTCGTACTGAGAAAATTTTTTTCTATACTTTTAATATACGTTTTTACGAGAAATTATCTCCTTACCGATTATTATACGTCTCGTATATAAAAAAAAAAGGTTACAGAGATAGGAAAAGGTATAAGAATTAAAGAATTATTAATTGTTATAATTTGAGTACACCCCTGGAAAAAGAAGTTTAAGAATCACTATCGTACAAGATGGAAATTATCTATGTAAAAAGCGAATCATTTTATGCTCCGACAATAGTGTCCGATGTATGAATATTCTCTAGCTTCTGCTGTGCCGCAGTCTCCTTTTCTTTCTCATTCTGCTCCGATCCTGATATCACGTAAACAGGCTGTTGGCTATAAGCGAGGAAATGTTGATCCATTGGAAACATTTTCGAGGGATCCTTTAGCTTCATCTGCAAGATTTATTTAGAAAATTTAATGATGGCCGTATCGTAAATAATTTTCAACGATGCTAAAAATACATTAAATGAAACTCAGATTAGGATATAATTACATGGAAAAGACAGTTTTACTGAAATATTTAAAAATTTAGCTAGATACAGATCTAAAAATAATTTTGTTAGACCATTAAAAAATAATTATGTAGGCTACTTTAGAATATGAAAACTTTTTGTAGTACTATACTCATCATGCTTGACATTCCTACCAAATTATTAAGACGGTCCAATAAAATTATTTTTAGATCTATATCTAGCTAAATTTTTAGATACTTCAACAAAATCGTTCTTTCCATGTACATTTAGATTGCTAAACATAAGATATTACAGATTTAGTACTCCGAAAATAACATCAAAATTTGTGACACTGTTATTAAAATTGGATTCATGAAACTCATCTAATTTGTATTGATTAAAAAGCACTAATTGAATTTAAAGAACCAAAACAATGTAACTCAATATAATAAGAACATATGTACGTGAATACTAAATTTACTTCAATATAACAATAGTTCAAATTTGCAAATGTAACATAAAGGGTATAATTGAAAGGTTTCAATAGAGTCAGGGCCTAAGCACAAAGATGAGAAACAATTAAGAAAGAAGCACGTAACTAAATCGTGGAACATAAGTCGTAGTTATATAGGTTGACTAAAACATTGTGCATTGATCTACGACTACGACTCCCATTTCACAACTGAATTATGACCATTTTTGTGCTTAGACCCTCACTGTCAGTTCTAAAGAGTTTAATATCTTCAGCAAAATTTTAAAAGTTTCTACCTTCTTGCGATACAACATTAGCAGAATAACGAGACTACTAATAATGAAGGCGCTGCTCGCCGCGAGTACGATTGTAGCCGTTTGATAGAACGGCGATTCCATTTGCGTGAGGATCTCACGTTGTTCCAGTGTGACAATCCGGCTCTGCGTTGCCACAGGTGTGGAGCGGTGCGTAAAACGTGAGGTCGTCGCATCCGCAGACGAACCCAGCAAGGACAACTTCTGAATTCGCGTGAGCTCTTCTAAATGGAACGCCACGTCTACTTTGTTCGTGCCGACAATCTCGAAGCTCAAGATTGCCGAATCCTGATTGATTTCTACTCGTATGTCTTTTCGGAGTCTCGCACCTAGTTCGTGCAGAAAATTCTCGGCCTCTCGAGCGAATCGCTTCTCGTCGCTGGCGAGGAATCGACCGGGGAAACGTAACGTTACTTCAACAGCTTCGACCGGAGTGGGTACTAAATAATATAACAGATATTATGTTTAAATTGCAATAAAGAATTGTTGTTAAAATTTATAATTGAGAATTTTAATTTAGAGAAATACGCGCGTGTATTTAGAGAAATACGTGCGACTGTCATATTATGAGCGGAGAGATCAGGATCGGTTGTTACAATTTTTCAATGGTTACATTTTTAAAAAAGTGGATGTAAGTAAGATTTTTTAACACGTTGCAATATATCCCTTAGGTATTAAAAAATATATTGCTCTTGAATATATCATCGTACAAATAAGTTATATGATTTTAAAGCTGTGAAAAAATGTAATAATTATTTTACTCCAATTTGATTGTCACACATTCCAGAATTAGCAATAACATACTTTATGTACATAATACATAAAAAATACAATTTTTATTTTTATTTTAGTTCTATATTTTAAAAAATAATAGTATAGTATTTTTATAAATAAAATAATTATTTTTTAATCATACAAAAATGTAATTTATTTTTATATATTTAATTTATATATATATATATATATACATAATTTTTATATGAAAAATGAAAGAACATTAATATCTATATAAAACATTTATATTTGTAAATTTAATCTCTAGAGATTAAATTTACAAATTTACAAAAAAGATTGATTTAAAGAGACTAAAATTGACTGTCACGCAACTAATCCCGACTTGCAACTAATCCCGACTATCTTGGTTAATACACCCCGTTTTTAATGAAAAAGATTATATTCACAAACTTTGTTACAATAATAATTAATAACTACAGAGCAAAAATTATCTAAGGCATTCCATTTCTACTTTTTCTACTACAGGGAATGCGATTAATAATATCAAATGACAAAAAAGAGATAAGAAAAATTTATTCACAACTTCATTTTTTAAAAAGTCGTTATAAATAATATGCACGACTTTTGGCGCAAATCATTTTATATAATAAACAGTGTAGTTAAAAGTAGGGATTTTTCCTTAACGTAGGGAGTTTTTACCTCAAAAAGGCGTAGGGTTAAAGATTAAAAGTCCTTACATTTTGGTCTTTTTTAACTTAAAATTCCCTACACCTTTTTGAAGTAAAAATTCCCTACGTTAAAGAGAAATCCCTACTTTTAACCACACTGATAATAAATTAATATTACATCTCAGTAATTTATAGTTAAAAGAAGAGAATCCCCTGTCATATATTAATATATTAATATGACATATATTAATACTTAATGTGATCAGATATACTTAATGTGACCAGATATTTTTAGATCTAAATAGGAACTTTATTAAGTGGGATTGAGGAGGAGGTAGATATGGATATAAAAATAATACAATAATAGTAATTTATTTTGTAAAAATAATACAATTATTTATTTTATATTTAATTTCGTTCTAAATTATTTGCTTTAATAAGTCAGGTAAGTACTTAAGAAATATATAAAATTCTTGGCAACTGAAATCAAAATCAATTTTTGTTATCAATATGCTTGTAATTAATTTTAGAATATAAACTCAAAGTTCACTTTTTTCTGCTGTCCATACTTCGTTCATTGCAGAGAAAATTCATTCAACTGCTGCATTACTTCCTGGAAGCGAATACATATTCTATGATTCTATAATTTGGCAAAATATAAAATATTTTTCAGCGAGACTTTTTCGCTACTTTTTGCTAAAATCGAGGCATTTAACATGGAACAGCAGGACTATCCCGCCGAAATCGGAACGTCTGGTCACATTACATATATTGATTGAATTACCTATAAGCGTTTTGACAATCATTCCCTGTATAATGGACAACTGGCTCCAGTCTCTTCTATACTAATCCTATCTTTTGTTTTACTCTGTTATTTCATATTTAAATTGAAAAGTTAAAAGATCTTAATATAAAATTTTAATTCAAATTTAACTCATATTTTAATCATATACTTGTCAAATTATTTCAACTAAGTTTTAGTTAAAAAAACCTTCCACTTACGGCAAATATTAGTTCCCTTCACAAACGGCTCAGATCCAATTAGTTGATTGCCGGCTTCATCCACGCACCAGCAAGTATCACCAGCGCATTGTGTAGGCTCAAATCTACCCTGTGGGTCGCATATCGTAGGCACGTGACCTTTGTTCTTCATCGCCTGACATCTGGTCCCGAGAATCTTTCCTGTTTGCCGTTCGTCCGTTTCCAAGTTTAGCAGAGCGTCCTCCATAATCGCTTGAATCTCACGATCTATCTCCTGCGATTCCGGTCTTCTGCCACCGCGTCTTGCTTGCCGGAAGTTACACTTTGGCTCGGCGGCTCGGGTGAGCGAACCCTTAATTGGCTGGCCCTTACGATTCACGCACCAGCAGACACCAACGTGCTCCAGACACTGCACCGGTTCCCACGTTCCACTATCAGGATTGCACTTGGGCAGGAAAGTGGGCTGCTTAAGTCGTTGCGATCGCTTCAGATTCTTCTCGCGCAGTCTCTCGCACTGCGACAGTACAGGACACACTGTGTCGCACACCAGTCGACTGGAGAAGTCGTTGTGACCAACGGTGCACTCGTTTTTGCGCCGGCATTCATTGCGCTCCGGATCGAAGAACCATCTCTCGGTCTCGTTGAAGCCAACGCTCGGATTGCAAGGTACTCTTCGGGGTGGCTCGAAGCAGACCTCACGCGGTTTCGGACAGCACACCGCGTACTCGTCCAACGGCGACAGCTCGCACTTGTGCGTCGAGGGACAATGATGACCATGTGGCCCACAAGTGGCGATCGAGCCGTTTTGCTCGAGTAACGGTGAGCTGTTCGGGCACGGGTTGTCCTTCTTCGGTAAGCAGACTGGTACCGGGGGACACGGTGGTGCACTACACGCGACCTCCACCATCCGGCACGCCTCGTTCTCGCCGCGGCAAGTCACGCTGCGACACGGGTCGCGGCACGAGCACGTCGGGCAGCCTGTGTCCGCGTCCAGTTCCAAGCCATCCGGACAGTCGAGCTTGCAATCGATTTCTGGGCATCTCAAGGGTGTGTTACAGCGCGGCACGATTCCTTCGAGGACCCGAGTGCCCGCCGCTTCCTTGCCTTCCTCATCTACGCACCAACACATACCGCTATGGCATTGCACCGGCTCGAACGCGCCGTTGGAGTCACACCTAGGTATGTAGGTCCTTCTCGCGGGCTCACCTGACTCCCTGGCAGCGTGCTCAGCGACCGCGCGAGCATGCTGGCAAGCTGTGGCCATGACCGGCGCCACGCATTGC